CCGCGCCCGGCCAATTTTTTTTTTTTTTTTTTTTTATAGACAGGGTTTCACCATGTTGGCCAGGATGGTCTCGATCTCTTGACCTTGTGATCCACCTGCCTCGGCCTCCCAAAGTGCTGGATTACAGACATGAGCCACCATGCCCAGCCTTTTATTTTTTTTAAGTATGCATTCATATCTTTTTTTTTTTTTTTTAAAGATGGGGTTTCGCCATGTTGGTCAGGCTGGTCTTGAACTCCTGACTTCAGGTGATCCACCCGCCTTGGCCTCCAAAGTGCTTGGATTACAGGCATGAGCCACCACGCCTGGCCAGGATCTTATTTCTACAAAAATTAAAGTTAAAAAATTACCCAGGCATGGCGGTGTGCTGTGTGCCTGTAGCCCAGCTACACAGGAGGCTAAGGCAGGAGGATCACTTAAGCCTAGGAGTTCGAGGCTACAGTGAGCTGTGATGGCACCACTGCACTCTGGCCTGGGTGACAGAGTGAGACTCTGCCTCTTAAAGAAAAGAAAAGAAAACAAAACCCAGCCAACCAACAAGCAAAGAGCCGAAATTCATCACCTCACCCAAGCCCTAAAGGCCTTAGGCCTGTGATGCTCTTAGTTTGATATCTGAGTAAATATCATTCATCCAGTTGCCCAAACCAGAAACCTAGAAGTCACCCTCAACTCTTCCCTCACCACTAACCCCATACCCAATCAAATGCCACCTCTGGCCGGGTGCCGTGGCTCACGCCTGTAATCCCAACATTTTGGGAGGCTGAGGCGGGCAGATCACTTGAGGTCGGGGATTTGAGACCAGCCTGGCCAACATGGAGAAACCCCGTCTCTACTAAACATACAAAATTAGCCGGGTGTGGGGGCACATGCCTGTAATCCCAGCTACATGGGAGGCTGAGGCAGGAAAAACGCCTGAACCTGGGAGGTGGAGGTTGCGGTGAGCCGAGATCATGCCATTGCACTCCAGCCTGGGCAACTCCGTCATGAAACTCCATCTCAAAAAAAAAAAAAAAAAGGCCACCTCTTACGTACTTTCCCTGCTAAACATTTCCACAATCCATCCAAGTCACTATTGCCCTGTTCTCACCCACTTTGGGCATGTTGATTTGGAGGTGCCGGTGGGACATTCAGGTCTGGAGAGTGAAGGTGACAGACACTGAAGTGTGAGGAGTCCAGATCGCTGGTAGAGACCATGGAGCGAGGGAGAGGGGCAAAATGGGTTGGAAAGACGTTACAGGAGAGGAACAAGGGCTTGTCACGAAGGTGGAAGTGGTTGGTAACGTTTCATGCCATAGAGGGTGACGTAAAATGAAGGCTGAAACCCCGGTAAGGCTGACAACATGCAGTCTCTGGGTCTGTATTAGTTCTCCATTGCTGCCATAACAAATAGCACAAACAGCAGTTTAAATCCACAAATGTGGCCAGTCGTGGTGGCCCCTGCCTGTAATCCCAGCACTTTGGGAGGCTGAGGTGGGTGGATCATTTGAGGTCAGGAGTTTGAGACCAGCCTGGCCAACATGGTGAAACCCTGTCTCTACAAAAAATAGTAAAATTAGCTGGGCATGGTGGCTCACGCCTGTAATCCCAGCTACTCAGGAGGCTAGGGCAGGAGAATCACTTGAACACAGGAGGCAGAGGTTGCAGTGAGCCAAGATTGTGTCACTGTACTCCAGCCTGGGCAACAGAGCCAGACCCCATCACAAAATAATAATAAATAAATAAAAATTTAAAAACACACACACACACACAAATGTGACTAGGTGCAGTGGCTAGCGCCTGTGATCCAGCACTTGGGGAAGCTGAGGCGGGATTGCTTGAGTCCAGGAGTTCAACATCAGCCTGGCCAACATCGTGAGACCCCATCACTACAAAAATACAAAAATTAGCCAGGCATGGTGGTGTGGGCCGATAGTCCCAGCTACTTGGGAGGCTGAGGTAGGAGGGCTACTTGAGCCTGGGAGGTCAAGGCTGCAGTGAGCCATGATCACACCACTGCACTCCAGCCTGAGTGGCAGAGCAAGATGCTGTCCATTATACACGCATGTACACACACACACACACACGCACGCACACGAACACTTTCTTTCTCATAGTGTCTGTAGGTCAGTCCTAGCATGCTGTGGATAGCTTCTTTGCTCAGGAACTCACAGAGCTAAAATAAAAATGCTGGCTGGCTAGGATTTTCATCTAGGTTCAGCATCCCCTTCCAAGCTCAGTGGTTATTGACCAAATTATTTCCTTCTCGAACTTTCCAGGCCGCCCCCTCCATCTTCAAGCCAGCAACGGCAGGTAAGCCCTTCTCTGACTCGGAATCTCTCCGACTTCCTCTTCTGCTTTATGGGCTCATGGGATTGCACTGGGGCCTGCCAGGGAACATGGGATAATGTCTCTGTCTTAGGTAAACTGATTGGTAACTATGACTACATCTACAAAACCCATTTGCCAGGCAATGCAACAGAATTATGGTAGTAAACACCTGTGGATGAAAGTCATGCCTACCATGGACTGTGCTAGAGGATTTTGATTAAATTATTGGGGTGGTGAAAGCCATATTGTGGCAGTTTGGGAAGTAAAGAAAAAGTCAGTGGTGGCTGCAGGGGGCCTTGGGGTGAAGGGTGGCGGCGCTTCCTGGCTGTGTCCCTCTGTGTATCTTGGGTTCTATGGGCCGCCCAGACTGACCTCCTCCCAGCATGGTGAAGCCCCATCTCTACTAAAAATACAAAAATTTGAGGCCGGACACGGTGGCTCACGCTTGTAATCCCAGCACTTTGGGAGGCCACGGCAGATCTCGAGATCAGGAGTTCAAGGCCATATGAACAAGGATTTCAACCAATAACTGAGGAGCACAGTCTCTGGTTCTGGGCCCTGAGGTTGCAGAGCCATGGCGGACAGTCCAGTGATGTCCAAGGCCATGCAGAGTTGAGATGGAGACTTCGACCCGCTGCGCTCATGGCTGCTACGGGGCAGTCCCTCACACCGGCGTGGGCATAGGCTGCAGAAATTTCCAGAGATACCACATTCTGCGCATCTTATGCCGGCTTCGCGTTTCCTCCCCAGAAATTCCCTGTGGGCCCTGCCCGTGAACCCCTGTAGGTCACCCGCTCCTTGGTCGTAGATCGTGTCTGTCAATGCTGGGCTTCAAAATTTTGTCTAGTCAAATCGACAGGCTCCTTCCAGGAAGAAAAGGCAAAGATGCCTGCGCCTTCCTGTGAAGTCTGTGTATCTGCGCTGAGTCAGGCATCTGCCCACCTTGAGGGTAACCTCAGCATTTCCTTCCAGCCCTTTCACCCACCATGACCGGCAGAACTTTGAGTGTTTTCTGGAGAAAAGCTGAGTAGTCGTTTTGCCATGGGCAGGACGCTGACGGCTCTTCCTCCTCAGCCCGGCCCTTTATAATCTCCAGGCAGCCATGGCCAGCACATCTGGCTCCAGCGCCCCCTCCACAGCCGGCCTCACGCCCTCTCGCCATGGCCTCTCACTCAGGTATCACTGGTCCTGGTGCTTCCGAAGTCTTGGGCATCATCTATGTCGCCAGGAAGACTCTGGAAGCACTCGCCCCAGGGATGGCTCAGCAGCAGCTGGAGGGATGGAGCCGGGATGGGCAGGGGTGTGTGAAGCATGTGCTCACCTCATCGTTCTCTCCTCAGGCCCCGCCACGTCTGTGCTGTTCCTGCTCTGCTGCGTGGGAAGCTGGCTGGCCTGCCACACGCTGCCTGTCCAACCAAGTGAAGTACAGAAAGTAGTTGAGGAACTGCAGTTCCTGTCGAAGATACTTTTGAAAGACGTGAGTGCTATAGAGATTTTTTTTTCCAAACTATGCTTTAAAAATGCCTTCCAAGGGCCGGGCACGGTGGCTCAAGCCTGTAATCCCAGCACTTTGGGAGGCCAAGGCGGGTGGATCGCGAGGTCAAGAGATCGAGACCATCCTGGTCAACATGGTGAAACCCCGTCTCTACTAAAAATACAAAAAATTAGCTGGGCATGGTGGCAAGTGCCTGTAATTCCCACTACTCAGGAGGCTGAGGCAGGAGAATTGCCTGAACCCAGGAGGCGGAGGTTGCGGTGAGCCAAGATCATGCCATTGCACTCCAGCCTGGGTAACAAGAGCGAAACTCCGTCTCAAAAAAAAAAAAAAAAAAAAATGCCTTCCATTGCCCTCCAAAGAGGCTCCTCTCTTCAGACCTGAAGCTGGGTCTGTGGCTATGCCAGGAAGGGATGGGGGCAACTAGACAGACGAAGATGGCCTTTTTTTTTTTTTTTTTTTGAGATGGAGTCTCCCTCTGTCTCCAGGCTGGAGTGCTATGGCACGATCTTGGCTCACTGTGACCTCCGACTCCCCAGTTCGAAGGAATCTCCTGCCTCAGCCTCCCGAGTAGCTGGGATTACAGATGCGTGCCACCACGCCCAGCTAATTTTTGTATTTTAGTAGAGACAGGGTTTCATCATATTGGCCAGGATGGTCTCGATCTCCTGACCTCTGATCCGCCCGCCTTAGGCCCCTAAAGTGCTGGGATTATAGGCATGAGCTACCGCACCCAGACAAGATAGCTTTGTCCAGTGAACAAATACCCAAACTTGGAAACAATTCATAAAATTGGCATTACCTGGGCCGGGCGCGGTGGCTCAAGCCTGTAATCCCAGCACTTTGGGAGGCCGAGGCGGGTGGATCACGAGGTCAAGAGATCGAGACCATCCTGGTCAACATGGTAAAACCCCGTCTCTACTAAAAATACAAAAAATTAGCTGGGCATGGTGGCACGTGCTTGTAATCCCAGCTACTCAGGAGGCTGAGGCAGGAGAATTGCCTGAACCCAGGAGGCGGAGGTTGCAGTGAGCCGAGATCGCGCCATTGCACTCCAGCCTGGGTAACAAGCAAGTGCCACCACGCCTGGCTAATGTTTGTGTTTTTTACTAATAGAGACAGGGTTTCACCATGTTGGTCAGGATGGCCTCCATCTCTTGACCCTGTGATCTGCCCACCTTGGCTTCCCAAAGTGCTGGGATTACAGGTGTGAGCCATTGAGCCCGGCCCTACCTTGGCATTTAGACTTCAGCCTTGGCTTTTATAAAAGGCTGAGGTTGTTACCAAGCAAAGGTGACTGGGCAGTTCAGGTTGGTGAGTGAGGTGTTGCTAGCAATTCGGTCTGACCCAAAAATGGTTAGTCCTTAGGAAGAGGGAAGGGAGGGAGTTGTCCGGACTCCTTGGTTTGTTTGGAAAAACTCTTCCTTGCATCTCGGAGGCCTTCCCGGACAAGCCTAACACTCTCCTCTATAAGTGGGGCGTGTGTGGCTTCAACACAGAGTCCCACAGGGCAGGGAGCTGCCGTGGAAGGCCAGACGTGCTCTAGTTCCCACCGCCCTGGGCACGTGAGCATGGCTTCTGGAAGGCTGGGGATGCCTCAGCTAGATGGAGCAGCGGTTCTGAGCACAGGCTTCAGGACTGTGGCCACCTAAGCTCTAGTTTTGTCTGGAAATGGGGTTGGGGGTGGCAGCGCCTCACAGGGTTGTGACACTGGTCAGATGAATATATCAACCAGGCGGGTCACGGAGGAAGCATGCAAACATTCGCTGCTGAGACTTTCAGCTGTTACTGCAAACCCAGTACTTACCATTTCTCCTCATTCCACAGGTGGAGGAAGAGAAGGGGGTGCCTGTGTCCCAGAACTACACGCTGCCGTGTCTCATCCCTGACGCCCAGCCGCCAAACAATATCCACAGCTCAGCCATCCGGGCATATCTCAAGGTGATCAGTCAGGTAGACAGCAAACCTGTTATTGACGAAATCATAGAGCAACTCGACAAACTCATATTTCAAGATGCACTGGAAACAAGCATTTCTATGCCAACAGGCACCTTTGAATGTAAACGCTTCATCCTGACTATTTTTCAGCAGTTTTCAGAATGCATGGACCTCGCATTAAAATCATTGACCTCTGGAGCCCAGCAGGCCACCACCTAAGGCCATCTATTCCTTCTGGAATGGCAGGAACTTAAGCAGCCTTAAAAAAATGACCGGCAGCTATATGTGGAAACTCTGCCATGATTCCTAAAGTATATTTTTCCAGTAATCTCAGTGACCCCTCAGATGGGCTAGTCCTGGGAGGGCTGAGATGTAAATTTGTGGATTACCTTGAAAAACATTATGCTGTTGTTATTAGTCTTGGTATTTATGGAATGTTTTTCTTCTGCAGGCTTAAATCTTACTTATTATACCCTTGTGAGAGCGGGAGGTGGCAGCTGTGTTAATTTGTTGCTGTTCATTATACGAAGAGTTGTTAATGCTTCTTGGGAGGGCCCTTGCAATCTATTTAATAAACTGTATTGAATTTTTCTCGTAATCTGTGATGAAGGGCTTGAAATTAGCTAATGGGACTCCAAGCTGGGTAGAGTTGTGGCAGAGGGCAGACGGACATGCTCCATCTAGAAAGAGGCATCAATTTTACCACTATCATTTCTCCCCTCTGGACAGGCTCAGTAAAAAAATAATGACCCTGAGCCGGGCACCACGGCTCACACCTATAATCCCAGCACTTTGGGAGATCAAGGCAGGAGGATCACTTGAGCCCAGGAGTTCAAGGCCAGCCTGGGCAACATAGTGAGACCCCATCTGTATTTTAAAAAAAGAAAGAAAAAATAATAATGATCCTGGCTGGGCACAGTGGCTAGTTTCCTCTGGACATGGTGTTGGTGATGGCCACAGCCTCACAGGGTTGCAACATGGATCAAATATCCTAGCATTTTGGGAAGCTGAGGCTGGAGGACTGCTTGAGGCCAGGAGTTTCAGACCAGCCTGGGCAACATAGCAAGATCCAATCTCTAAAAAATAAAAATAGCCAGATATGGTGGTATGCTACTTGGGAGGCTGAGGTGGGAGGATTGCTTGAGCCCAGGAATCCGAGGTGGCAGAGAGCCAGGACAGCACCACTGCAAAGCGTGATCCTAGCAGCAAAAAACACTCATTGAGCATTTTCTCTATGGCAGGACATGTTAAGTATCATCCTCTTCTCATAGGTAGGAAAACTGAGGCAGGAAGTCTGTTAGTCACTTGCTCAAGGCCACACCGCTGTTAAGAGGTAGAGCCCAGATTCCAGCTTGGGCTTCTCCGCCTTACCCAGGCTTTGTTCTTCCCTGGGCAGTGGCTGGGTCTCACAGGCCAGGTGTGGCATGCAGCAACCTTACAGTGTGCTGGGCACAACTCCTGACTTGGTTTTCAGTGCCTAGGGGACTTCTTGATAGCTAGGTTCAAAGAATTTGTCATTTGAATCAGTGTTAAGTCCCAAACTGTTAAAGCTTCTTAGAGATCACTTGGACTCAAAGCGGGGTCTCTGCCCCAGCAGCAGCAGCAGCAGCCTGTGGCAGCGTTTTAGAAATGTAAATCTTCAGGTCTCACCCCAGACCTACTGAATCAGAGGGTCTGTGGGTAGAGCCAGCAATCTGGGCTTTATGGAAACTTCCAGGGGATTCTAAGACACCCTCGAGTTTGAGAACCACTAATCTTGAGTCTACCAGCACCGATATCTTCATCTTATCTCTGGGGAAACTGAGGACCAAAGAGGTGTGGTTTGCACATGTAAGGGGGGATGTGGTCAGGACTCTGAGACATGCAGTTCAGTCTTGGACTTTTCAGTTTTACTCTTGTAGGTATTTCTTTTTTTTTTGAGACAAGAGTCTCACTCTGTCGCTCAGGTTGGAGTGCAGTGGCATGATCTTGGCTCACTGCGATCTCTGTCGCACAGGTTCAAGCAATTCTCCTGCCTCAGCCTTCCGAATAACTGGGATTACAGGTGCCTGCCACTCTGCCTGGCTAATTTTTATATTTTTAGTAGAGATGGTGTTTCACCATCTTGATCAGGCTGGTCTTGAACTCCTGACCTTGTGATCCACCCGTCTCACCTCCCAAAGTTCTGGGATTATAGGCATGAGCCACTGCATTTGGCCTCTTGTAGGTATTTCTACTGCAGTCCCCTGGCAGGTTTTTTTGTTTTGGTTTGGTTTTTTTTTTTGAGACAGAGGTTTACTCTGTCACCCAGGCTAGAGTGAAGTGGTATGATCTTGGCTTACTGCAATCTCCACCTCCCGGGTTCAAGCGATTCTCCTGCCTCAGCATTCCAAGTAGCTGGGACAGCAGGCTCAAGCCACCATGCTAATTTTTGTATTTTTAGTAGAGACGGGGTTTTGCCATATTGGTCAGGGTGGTCTTTTTTTTTTTTTTTTTTTTTTTTTTTTTTTTT